ATTTACGTCTATACCAATTGGTGAATGGCGAAGGAAAATGTATAATACATAGGTCCCATTTTCCAGGACACGTGTTTTGTGCATGTTTTTTTTTCTGCTATAATAAGTTATTCATTAGATGAAATATAACATCGGAAAAAAATTCGGAAGCCATAGCCGATCGCCAAATAGGTCTAGCAAATTTTCACAGTTTGTAAAATTGGTCTCGAAAATATTCACACAGCTTGTAAAATAGGTCCTGTAAATTGTTACACAGCTCGTAAAATGGGTCATGCAAATTTTCATACAGGTCATAAATAGGTCCGGTAAATATTCATACAGCTACCACATTTGCATGCAACTGCAGATGCTGTCAAGGCCACTTTGCAATTTTTCGTCAGTCATTTCTGGCCGATAGGTTCGATGTGAGATGGACCCGTGTAAGCATTTTTTATATCATAAATAACGATACAGTATTTGCTCTCTTAAACAGGCATTTGTCAGTCAGATTTTTTAGGTATTTTTCACTACATCGCTTTGAAATAATGGCTTGGATTTTGTGAAACGACCATCAATAACTTGAGATATTTGACCATAAATTCAGCGCTATGTCCAAGTAAGGATGTATTTGATGATAAAATACTACGGCTACAGCCATTATCGGCAATATCGCCACCGACATTATGTTAGATTATGCTTGTTTTGTGAATGTAAATCGATCATCAGTAACTTTTGAGGTATTTGACCATAAATTCAGCGCTATGTCCAAGTAAGGATGTATTTGATGATAAAATACTACGGCTACATCCATTATCGGCAATAATACCACCGACATTATATTAGATTATGCTGCATTCACACGCTAAGCTGCTTTGCTGTGTTACTCTTGGTGGTCGCTACTTTGTACTTCAGAGGAGTCGTCTATAGGCTTGTTGTGGAGTTCTGCAATTGCCACCCGTGTTGCTACTACTACTACTGCTGTTATTGTTACTTTTACTCCTACTCTTACATCTACCTCTACCTCTACTACAATTACTACTACCATTACTCCTACTACTATTACTAGTTCTGATAGTACTTCTGTTTTTACTACTATTGCTTCTGATACTACTGCTTGAACTTCTACTTGTCCTGCTGCTGCTACTACTACTACTACTGCTGCTGCTGCTGCTGCTGCTGCTGCTGTTACTATACTACTATTTCTATTACTACTGCTGCTGCTGTTACTATTACTACTACTACTACTACTACTACTACTATATCTACTATTCCACCACTATTACTATTTCTATTTCTACTACTACTATACTACTACTTTTCTTCTTTTAACCCTAACACTGTTGCTGCTACTGCAGGCGGCGATTATATATATATATATATATATATATATATATATATATATATATATATTATATATATATCTGTATATGTATATGTGTATAATATATCTGTATATGTATATGATATATGTATATCTGTATATGTATATGTATATATATATATATGTATATGTATATATGTATGTATATAGTATATGTGTATATGTTATATGTATATGTGTATATGTATGTATATATATATGTGTGTGTATATGTTATATATGTATGTATATATATGTGTATATGTATATATTTGTGTATATGTATATATGTGCGTACGTATATGTGTATATTTATATATTTATATCAATCAGTCAATCAATCATGGTGTACATTATACTTGAGAGTTCTGACAGTGTCCAAATGTGCGGATTCTTTAGTTCGCTTAGTTCTATCAGTTTAAACCTGTATCACCTACAAGAACATAATTTGACAGGAATGTGTAGTGGTTGCTTAGTTTAGTCAGATGGTAATTTACTCTAGACAACAACAAATAGCTTACAGTTCGTTTACGTACAGCACCAATGCCTTTCCTGTATTTTTTCTACCCTCTTACTGATGACGTGCTGTTGATCATTAATTTTTTAATATTGATGCTCTTCATGTATTACTTATTTATTCTTTACTGATGACATGCTGTTGGTCATTATATTTAAGTACCAATATCCTTCCTGTACTATTTTATGCCTTCTTACTGATGGCATGCTGGTGGCTCTTAATTTTAGTGTCGATGCATTTCCCGTACATTTTTTATTCCTTCTTACTGATGACATGCCGTTTCTCCTTTTTTTTAAGTAGAGCTTTATTTACGCTTTGTATTAGGTGGAGTTAGAATGTCGAACCTCTTTAACAGTCTGTTGATTTTACCCAAAGAACCAGTGCAAGCATCTCATCCGCGTTGGTAAGTCCTCCTAATCCTTGGTGACCTTGGCCGAAGAATCTTCTCTGGCGCTCCAACAAAATACCACTCCTTGTCCCACTCTCTCAAGAGGGAAGAGATTTAGGCGTATTCTTAGATGAGGATGTCCGGATTTACTGCAGCTGGCTTTGAATAAGAGCTTTTTTGGCGTCGTCAAAAGCCTCGGTTCCTGAGAGATTGTGCGTGGCATCTCGTCGGCGTGGACGCGTAGGCACCAGCTGGGACTGCAGTCTCGGATCATTCAGTTAACTGCCTCATTTTACTACATGTAAGCAGTTTAAAGCGTTAAAAGCGTCATTATCATCTATTTAGCGAAGGAGAGGCAACAGTTTAATTGTACTATCTGGTGAATATTTGCTCGCGGTGTAGACTGAGGCTCATTTCAGTACGTGCTATTTTAAGGCAGGTTTTGCAGGCCTTTTGTCTGCATTCGGTCCGCTTTCGTAAAGCAGTTCAAGCGCAGATTCATTTCTGTGAAAGTTGATGAACGTTGTAGATCGAAAGCTTTCACTATTAGTACATAATTGCGATAATAGATGTGGAGATACGGAAGAAATGCTGTTGAAATATATCAAATAGTTAATTCTTTGTATAAACACAGTAAACAGATCCTCAACGTAAACAATCTCACAGAAAGATTAAAATAGCTTGTTAAAAAATAAAGATTTAAACTAAAGCAGGCGCACTGAGTTATATATATTACAAATCAACTCAGTGATATAAAAATATACCCAATGCTCTTTAGTATTGTTGCACGAGTCCTGTATCAGTTTCAACAAACGCCACGTGGCATCATTTATCTTGCAAACGCTATATCGATTCCCCAGACACTGTTAATGCAACCAGGAGACAAGAAATAATAGTAATCCTCGTTTAATTTGACAAGAAGAAAAAAATAAATTCCCATGCCGGGAATCGAACCCGGGCCTCCTGGGTGAAAGCCAGGTATCCTAGCCACTAGACCACATGGGAGTGCGTATTAGAGAGAATTTAGATCTAAGATTATTTAACTCTGTGGATCAGTGATAGGAGTTTGTTTTTTATGGCCAGAGTATTACCGAGGGAATGGGAAGGAGGATAGGATAGGTAAATATCTTTTAATATTGATTTTTTTCCATGGCTTTAGTATAACCGAGGGAATGAGAAGGATAGGATACGGTAAATATGTCTTTTATTATTCATTCCTGTTTTTTATGCCCTTAGTATAAAGGAGGGAATGGGAGGAAGGATAGGATACGGTAAATGTCTTTTTATTATTGATTCCCGTTTTTTTATGGCCTTTGTATAAACAAGGGAATGGGAAGAAGGATAAGATACGGTAAATATCTCTTTATTATTGATTCCCGTCCATTAGATTGAGATAAAAAAAATATTTGCAACTATATTAAATTATGTAAAAGAAGAAAGAATGAGATAGTAGGAGCATTGATTTAAAAGGCTTATAAAACTCGGAAAGGAGATGAGAGATCCAATTTCATGTTTTGAAATTGTTTGCTTTCTTTTGTGAATCACGGACGAACTTTTGTCCTTTTTTTCTCGAGGCAAAGAAGTTGGTGATGATTGATGATAGTTGATATGATGAAAAATATAATTGAGTTTAGTGATGATAGTTGTATAAAATACCATGGAATTATCATTACACATTATATTCAGTCAGTCATTGCCGTCTCAAATGCTCGAAAAAGGTAAATAGATAAACCAAAGAAAATAAGAAAACAAAATAAGTAAAATAAACAAACAGGATAGCTATGAGCCTTAAGTTAAACACCTCCCCTCTTTACGAAAATAAATTAAGACCGTGGAAGTATCAGATGAAACTATCTATCGCTGCACTTCAGTATATTGAGCTTGAAGGTATGCCATGCACCCCATATCACAATAAATAATCAAAGACTTATCTGCTTTGTTTGTTTGTAAAGGAAATGATGTTAGTCCTTGTATATGAGCCAAGCTTCCATTTAAGTTAAGTTTGTTAAAATTGTGCGAGGTCTCACCCAATAAATATTCATTATACGAACATGCATATACACAGAAATGCATGTACATCTGTTTGTCTAGACATGCATATCTACCGGGTAGATAGACGGATGCATAACTATCAGATAGGTAAATAGATATGCATTCATTTCATTTCTGCGTAGAGGCATGTCCGTATATCTGAATATTCATAGGGTCGGGCCTCGCACAATTTTAACAAGCTGGCCATTAGATCGTTGACATTTTAACAGACTGGCCAGTAGCAAATTGTTTTTTTTTTTTAAGAATTGGCCATTAGATCGTTGATATTTTAACAAATTGGCCATTAGATCATTAATATTTTAACAAATTGGCCATTAGATCATTAATATTTTAACAAATTGGCCATATATCGATTTTACAAATTGGCCATAAGATCAAATGTTATAACAAATTGACCATTAGAGCATTAATATTTTAACAAATTGGCCATTAGATAATTGATATTTTAACAAATTGGCTATTAGATCATTGATATCTAGTCTTTTCTGATTTTCGACCCCCTCCCTCTCCCTCCTTACTGAATTACACATTCCCTGCTCTCCTTTCCTCAAATATGTACTGTACTGTATTGGCACAGTCGGTACATGTAAATAAATATCATAGAGAAAAATAAACACATACCTATCCTAGTGTGGTTGGTTGCGTTTGTTTCTCTGCACATTTTTTTTTTTTTCTCAAAATCCATCTTAATTCATATTTTCTCAGATATTACCCTCTTTCTAACGCCTTCTCCCCCCACCCTCCATCCCCAGCTGTCCTTCGTACCCTCCCTAGGCTAGGGGAGGGAGGGGGCATTGGTTAGAAAACAGTATTAGTTCTAAATATCAAAATCCATTCCTTGTCTCACTTGCTATCTATGGATTATTGACATTATTATTGATAATTATCATCGTTGTTGTTGTTATTGTTATCAACATCATCATCATCGTCATCATTGTTATCATCATCATTATTATTACTACTACTACTATTATAACTATTACTACGATTACTGTCATATTATTGTTATTGTAGTTGTTGTTGTTATTGTTATCAACATCATCATCATCGTCATCATTGTTATTATCATTATTACTACTACTACTACTACTACTACTACTACTACTATTATTACTATTACTACGATTACTGTCATTATTATTATTACTGTTGTCGTCATTGTTCTTATTGCTATTTTTATTGTTTCTTTTTCTTGTGATTATCATTGCTGATATTATTGTTATTGTTATTGAGGTATTTGAGAGGTTAGTGACAATTAAGTAAATGCAACATTACTGAAGACTTGTTGCATTTGAAATGTTTATCATCACCAACTTATCAAGTCAGTCAATTAATCTGGCTAGTGCATTTTCACTTCAGTAGCCATGAAGAAGAAAAAAGTAGATTCCTGAATTCTGTACTTTTTGCAGTATCTATATTTAGTATATTTGACTCAGTTTTATATGCCAATGATAAGTCTCATTGATAGTCTTGAATTTCTTTTTATATATGCAAGTCCAGTCTATTTGTATTACAAAAAGATCTGCTTGTTTTTCCTTTTTCTTTCCCTTTTTTCTCTTCTCTTTCTCTCACGCTGTCAACGCGCGTGTGTTAGTGAGATTATTTAGATGTGTTTATACTTATTGATTTATTGTATATCGCAACACACGATCTTACGGGTCGTTGCTTTGGAGGTGGTTCAAAATTTTAAACATTTTCACGGGCGAACAAAGTGCACGCCATGGGGGTAGGGGGATAAATCCCGCTCGCACACTATTTAAACTCTCTGAAAATATCGATGTCAGATCGTATCGAGTCCTCAGTATCTGTAGTTAAATACAGCTTTCCCGGTCTAACCTCGCAATTATGACCCTATGTGTTCCAGATTTTAAAAACGGTCAATAAATTCTTCTTTCATGCCATAGAGTTTTATCCTAATGTTATCTATATCCCCTGGTCAATAAATTCATTCATGTTGGAAGTTAGTACATTTAATAGTTGGTATGAAGTATTTCTTAGACTTACCTGGTACTGATACTTGTCCCAGTTGAAAATTATCCTGATACTTCACCCTCAAGTGAAAATAACCCCTAATGAAATTATCTCCTATCAAGCTTCTAGGGAGTAGCATGACTATCAGGAGCATTTTCACAGGACTACCCTGTCTGATCGAGGGCACGTCAGGATACGATTTTTAAGGGGGGGGGAGGTCAACTCTTTGTAGGCCTATGAAAATGTTGAAAGCGTTGAACTACTTACAGGAAATAGTGTTATTCAAATCTAGGTTATTATTTCCTACTACTTGCTTGTCTCCCTCTCAGTATGCCTGACAACATTCTCTCGCCTCCCCTCTCCCTCCCCTCTCAACATTCTCTCGCCTCCCCTCTCCCTCTTCTCTCAACAATCTCTCGCCTCTCTCTCAATATTCTCTCGCCTCCCCTTCTTCCCCTCTCAACATTCACCTCCCCTCTCACCTCCTCTCTCAACACCCTCTCGCCTCTCCTCTCAACCTTCTCTCTCCGTTCCCCCACCTCCTCTCAACATT